TGCATGATTTTCTTCCCTCATTAAATGAGTAAGCTTGCAATAGTTGAATTTACCATGCAAACATTCAACAAGAACTGCTATAAGTGCAGCCTTTTACCATAGGGTATGAAGATTTTACCACATGGAAGTCCATGTGTTCACATGGGCTGGAAATTTCTGCCAACAATCTTCCCCTCCAGCCCCATGGGAGGAGACTTAAACCTTGACTCCTTACTTGGAGTCCATCCCGACCAACTTCGTGCAATATTCAAACTTTTCTTTGGGAAGAACTTTTGTCATCATATCAGCAACATTGTTGTTTGTGTGAATCTTTCTGAGTTGAAACTGCTTGTTCCAAGCACAACCAGTGATATCTCAGATCTATATGTTTTGTTCGGGCATGGTACATAGTATTCTTGCTCAAATCTATAGCACTCTAGCTGTCACAAAATACTACATACTCTTTCTGCTTCAATCCCAATTCTTGTAGGAATCTCTTCATTCAAAGCATCTCTTTACCAGCTTCTGTAGCTGTAATGTATTCAGCTTCGGTTGTTAATAAGGCAACACACTTCTGCAATTTTGATTGCCATGATACAGCTCCCCCTGCAAAAGTGAATAAATACGCTGAAATAGATTTTCTATTATCAAGGTCACCTGCCATATCTGCATCTGTGTATCCCTTTAGAATTGGTTCAGTTTGGCCAAATGTCAAACACAACTTGGTAGTTCCTCTCAGATATCTGAAGATCCACTTAACAACTTCCCAGTGAATCTTGCCTGGATTAGACAAGAATCTACTCACAACACCAACAACATGAGCAATGTCTGGCCGTGTACATACCATTGCATACATCAGTGAACCGACTACAGAAGAATAAGGAATAGATGACATTCTCTCCTTTTCTTCTTTGGTAGTTGGACAAGATCGTTTACTCAGCTTGAAGTGATTTACAAGAGGAGTGCTAACTGGCTTAGCATGTTTCATGTTGAACTTTTCAAGCATCCGTTCAACATACTTCTCTTGTGATAACCACAACTTCCTAGCCTTTCTATCACGGGTAATAGCCATACCCAGAATTTGCTTTGTTGGTCCCAAGTCCTTCATGTCAAAGGACTTTGATAACTCCTCTTTTAACCTGTAAATTTTCTCAACATCTTGTCCCAAAATCAGCATATCATCAACATATAACAAAAGGATAATGAAGTTGCCATCAGGGAATAATCTAATGTGGACACATGGATCTGCATTTGTTCTTTGGTAACCATGACTCATTATAAAAGACTCAAACTTCTTATACCATTGTCTTGGAGCTTGCTTTAGTCCATACAAGCTCTTCTTCAATTTGCAAACCATAT